ATAAGTATTAGGATTATGATGGAAAACTTAGAGCAAAAGTCTTGAGTCATAATTTATTTCTCTCCATTTGGCCTCCTTTCAGCTAGAGGTTTGTAATAATTTAAAGATGGTTTTTTTAGTGCCTTTCTGAAGGATTTTTTTTAGGTGACTTCTTTGTAACTCTTTTTGTTTAGTTACCTGTTTATTTCCATTAAAAGGTCTTTCTTATCAAGCTCTTTACTTCATTTATTTTATTTAAATAGCCTCTTATCCTCACAGAACAAACGAGCACAGTTATTTTACATTGCACCAAACCTAACCTGTTTAAGATCTGATCATTAGGTCCAGTATTAATGATTAGCAGATCTCCAAAAGACATCTTAAAACTTCTCCAAAACAGTATTTTAAGCAAAAAATGTATTACTTGCAACCCAGATGGAAATAAGAATTATAAAAGCTAAACCAAATCAATTTTAATGCAATTATATGATATCAAATAAAATGTGAAAATGCTGAATATCTAGAGAACTTAGAAAATACTCTTTTGACAAAGAAAAAATGATGTTAAGAATAGTGGCAACTGAAAAGGCTTATGTATGAACTATAAAATAAATGTACCTGAAGTATTTTCTTAATGGCATTAAAAATGTTTATAGAAAAAGCTTTTCCTGCTTCGCTTCATTTTAAATTTAATGAGATCGACTTCTTTTATCTACTCCTCATCCAAACGGGAATAAAAAAAACCTGTCTGAATACCAATATAAATGTTATATTTAAACAATTAAGGATGAAGAGGATCCAGATTGAACTGGACAGTTCAGTTCATGCAGTAAGGAAGATTTTAAAGGGTTCTGAAAAACCTTAAAGTTGATGAATCTTACATCCTTCGTCAGGTTTTTGTTACTTGAAAATACATGATTTTTAAGTCATGTTGCTGCAGTTATTTCTGGTCTAGCTTTTTCAGCATGTTTCTATTGGCTTTGCCAATCCTCAGTTTGAATTCAGAGTGCAGAATCTGCTGTCATGAGCAGGTACAAGAACTGAAGATAAAATAAATAAAAAAAGCAGCCAAAACCTTTAATTACCTTCAGAAGGCCAGAATTACTCATAATAGGCACTTTAACAAACTATCTAAAAGTCTGCTTCCTTGGATCCAACATTAGAGTAATTTAAGGAAACAGTTAAAACCTTTACACCTGTTTTATCTTATGTTTATACTTTCATTTTGTTGTCATGCTAAAGTGTTATTTAGCCATTATATAAAGCTTTGTTAGAAAAAAAGATGCAAGAGACAGTTGGGATTCATTACATTTTACTTTGTGCAGGAACACTGAAAGAGTGCATTTTCTTTGATAATTTAATAAATGAATAAAAAGAACTCTGAACATCATGTGCATTTTCATTCATTGTGCATTCTAGAAAAAAACAGTATCATTGTACTGAAGAGACAAAGACAAGGCATCATGCATCACACCGAGAGGCATGAGCTTCTTTTGGTAACGGCAGCTGTCGCAGTATTGTAGTGCAAAGGTTTGCTCGTCACAACAGCAAAACCGTTTAGATTATACATGCAAAAATGTTTAGGTGTGTAACATTTAGAGGAATCTACTGGCATAAAGGCAATATATAACTTTAGGGTAGGAAATGCTGTGCTATAATTAAAGAATGCAATGTTTTTACAGATTTTTTTGCAGGTTTCTAGAGTTTATAGAGGAACAGACAAACCCTGACCAATTTTTATGATTATTTTTTTTTGGCTGCTGTGAACATTACCCTGCAGGTCTGGAAGATGAGATTCGGAACGGGAAAATTCAAAAGCATGCACTTGAAAATTTTGCCACTAGATATCACTAAATCTTACACAATTTAAAACATTCGGAAAATTACAACTGTTCCCCGGGGGGGCTAGTGCAACAGCAAACAAACTACTGTATACTGTTGCTACAAAGGCATCTATTTCCCATTGTGAACTCATTCCCTGAATAAACTATGATTCTGCAAACTCATCCAAAAAATCTGTGCACTGGATTGAGGAAGACAAGGATGATTTTGTTGTGAAACATGATTGTGTTGGTGTAGGAGCTACAGGTCCTGATGGATGCTGGGATTCTGCGCGTCTGCATTTAAAATAAGATCTTCGTCGTTGTCTTCATCTGGCAGCTGTGTAACCAGCTGTTGGAAGCGAGCCTGCCGCTGGTAATCTGGATCAACATTGATCCATTTATTGGCTACCCACTTAGTCCCGCGGGTGACCACACAGCCTCCATGCAGAGCATATTCATCCTGCTCTCCAACCCAGCCTGATGAGAAAACAAAAACACAAACCAACACTATATCATCAATACTATACATTTGGCCAGAAATATGCTATTATCTGATCTAAACAGGAAATAAAGGTTAAGTTATTTTAGTAGAGCAGATGAAAAATGCAGTATCAGCCAAGATATAAAGTTCACAGGATCTCTGATTTGATTAAATGTGACATTTATTAAAAAATCAAACATGTCTTCTGAGAGTCTCTGCTCTAATTACTAGAAAACTTAACCCAATAGTAGCTTTCAGTGACGTTATTTTAAGAAAAATCATAAAAGGTCTCTAATATTGTATTATTTATATCAATTAGATAAACAGTCTTTTTACAAAGTAACCTACTTCTTAAAGGAAGCTTGTGAAGTGGAAATATGTTAGGATTAGTAAAAGGGACTTTGAGCAAGCCAAAGGCTTAATCCAAATACAACAAATCAAACCCCCTAACTCTAGTTTGTAGCTTGTCGTCATTCAGCTTTTATAGATTCAACAGTAAAAACACTTTAATGAGTAGGAAAGGATGTCCGGGCTTTTGGGTCCGATCTATGCAGCCTTTAGCCTTTTGGGCATCATTACGCAACAGAAACACACATGGATGACTGATTGTCAAAGTAGGACTACAGCGTTCTGACAACTACAAAAAAGTAGGTTACACAAATGTAGTAAATGGATATTTCTATTATAAAACCTCAAACATATGAAGGTGCATTCATTTTTTATGTCACACATAATACACTAACAATGATGTATTTTTGTTCTTTTCTATGAGGTGGTCTGTGCTTATACCTCATGTCACACAAAGGATTTGGGATTATTTATAGCTTCTTGGCTCCCTATGCTAACAAAACTACTTTAGGAAGCATATGGGCTCCTTTTCCTACATCCTTTCTTACTGCTTGGACTATTCGATAGGACTTATCACGGTGACCTCAGAAGCCCTTGCATGTTGTCCTTGCTGATTTGGATCAAGCCTAAGAGTCTCTCAAGCAGAAAAGATTGCTGTACCAGTTCATTGCAGCTCAAAGCTGTTTATTGAACAATATAAAATAATTAATACTTTATAAATGCAGGGAAACATTAATTTGCTCTAAATGGGAAAAAAAAGCTGTGAAAAGTCACAGAAATACTGTATATATACATAAAATACTTTAACATACATTTTATACAGCCCACAGAGAAAGATGATGCAAAAGAGGTGATATTTGCTGTTATACAGGATAATGCCAGTATTCATAACCTAAATGGGAATCTAGAAGATCCTTTTGACCTTGCTTTTGATTGCAACATGTAGGGCTTCTCACTTTGCAGGTGTGTACAGCCATAGATGGACGCATCTGGTGATGGTTGGTCCTGGTGATCAGGACCAACTCCTGTATTCTCCTCGCTGAGCTGTGTGGACAGTGGCTAACTTAACTTGGGCTCCTCTGCCAAAAAGAACTGTCCTGAAGAGGCAGGAAATCCCAGTAACGCTCTAACCGTTGTTTCCTCATTTATATCAAATAGAGTAAGTAGTACAATGAACAGCATGGGAAACAATAAAAAAAAATCTAAATATTGATGAGGATATAATTAAGCTTGTTTATACATTTTAAAGTGTAAAAAAATGTAATTTTGCATGATCATCATAAGGCAGCTTTTTTTTCATCTCTAAATTAAATTGTCTGTTCATTTTTCTCCATTGATTACCAGGAGCCCGAGTGTGTTTTTATTCTTTGTTTCATGTGTCACCATTCACTGCTCTTATAAGACAGTGTCGAACCTTGTAACTAGGTCAACTAAGATGAAAATATTCTTTTTCCTTCTTGTTTAGAGTTGCTCTTAAAAACTCGTTGATTCACTCTTAAAGGTATAATGGAGGATGTTCTTTTTCTGGGTGGATCATCAAGATAAGTGGTCCTCCTAATTGTCAATCATTCTGGTGATATGTTTACGTAAGGCCATCTTACATGTTCGTCCCAATTTTCACTTACCGGTGGTGAGCCTGACAGAGTGAAAGAAACTAGCAAATCTTTGGAAAGTAAGCTTTTATGAGTGATGCAAACAGCAACTTTTAAACAGAGCGTGCACGAGGAGAAATGGACTCGTGCACGCTCTCACACGCGTTTAATAGGTGTTCCCTCTCTGGTGCGGATACAGGGTTGTGCATGTGCATTTTTTTTTAAGTGGAGAGGGTGTTCGGAATTAATTGCATTCTTTGTAAAATTTTAGATAAAAACAAAATATATGCCATAATTTCTGCACCTTTTCCATCTGAGAGGTAGTTGTACCAGAAAACAGCCATTCCTTTGGTGGGTTTCACTCTTAGGTTACTCTTGTCACAGTTTCTTCTGGTGTCCATCAGATCCACATCATTCTGTATCAGAGACTAAAACACAAACTGGAACTAAGTGAAGCAGTTTCTTTCATGCTGAGCACAAACACTAGCTGACAGACATGGGAGCTAGCACAGACGTGAAAACCATGCACTCCTTGCACAACTCTCTTCTGACACTTTACGCACCACTTCATCATAGGTCCTGTTGTCTGCCACAGGGAATGCGGTCTCCCCGCCCCCATCAACAGAATTCAGGTAGAAGAGAACTGTGATGTACCTAAGTGTGCAACACAGGTTTAAATTGACATACACATGGTGCAGACGAACATACAAGCACACATGTACTGTAGAAACACACAAGCGGATGCAAAAGTTAACAATGTAGAGCTCCTCCTGTCAGCACCTCACCTGCAAGAGGTCTCAAAAGGAGTTGAGGTGTTTGCTGCAAGACGTGTGTGTGTGCATGCCGTTTCAGGGTAGACGGGCCCGCTGTCATGGTGGGCATGGTAGTGCCCCCCCTCCTCATATCGAACCACCTGAAGCGGCTCACTCAGATCTACTAATGCCGATGGGAGCCGGGTGAGGCGAGTCACCCTTTAAAAGAAGAACGGCTAGCTTTAAACAAATAACTGCTGAATCTTCAACAGAGGAAGATTTTAACTTGCTCACCTCTCCTTGATTTCCTGGAGGACCCGATGGGCTCCTTTGCCCTGATACAGCCAGGTGTGCCGACTGTTCCGAACGAGCTGACTCCTTTTCACTCCTCTCTGCAGCAGAAAGCGCTGAAAGGCATCGCTGCTCAGGAGCCGGAACTCCTCCAGGCTCAGCAAACCTATCACAATGATAGGAGGATTTTTAAGTCACATCTCTACAAAAACTTTCTTTTTTTTTTTTCTAAAATTACTTACTTTATTTTAATTATAGAAAATCTTCGACTAACACGTAAATCAGTAAATCAAAGAGAAACATACATTTCTAATGCACACAATTTTGAATTAAATGAAATATCAAATTATTCAAAACAATCTTTTTTTTAATTGCACTTAAACTGAACAGTGAGTGAAGGGGGGGGGGGGTCGCTTATCAAGTTCTGACATGATCAGCTCAAATTGCAGAAATAGGATAGAAATTTTATGCAGGGAGAAAGACTATTCTGTCTCCTCAAGTAGAGATTTATTTTAGGGCTCAGTGATTTAAAAAAAATGATCAATAACCTTTCTAAAAAGAAGTCAGTGATAAAAAAACCCCGAAACATATTAGTAACTTTTCCAAAAAAAAAAAAAAAATCTTTACAGGGCTTTGAAAAATATCTAAATCTAAGTCGCTGACAGCAGTATCTCTTGTGCTCTATCTCCCTGTGCCTCTCCTCAGTTTGCTCCTTTTCCTCATAGTGCTGCTGATGCTGCTGCTCCTGCTGCTGCGAATACCCATGTATAGTACCGTTTTGAATAACACAGTACCTCAGTTAAATACCACTGTATTTTCTTTGTTGAACTGTTTATAGCTGATGCCTCCTGGTGATCGATCATACCCTTTCTCCATGTCAAAAAGTACCAATGTCCTGAATTGCAGCTGATTAAATTATAAAAATAGTGTTTATGTTGCTTTTCTTCATAACAAATTTGAAATGAATAGTGAAAGTGGTAAAACCCCTTATCCATAGAGAAATAACACATATTATTCGAAAACATCCAATTAAAGATATTGGTCTGATGGTAATAAAACAATGAAAGGATGGATAGGAATGTTGAAAGGATGGATAGGAATGTAGCTGTTATTTGGTGTATAGGCCTAAAAGGAGTACAGTAACATGAAGGTTATCTTTAACTGGCCAAGTCTGAATCTTAAAGACTTTGGGTTTAGTTTCACATTGGTCTTTTTATCTCTAATTAGCATGAAATTGTTACACAGTAGCTTCAGATGCACTACCTTCGCTGTAGTTCTTATCTTTAACAGTAGGTGTCAGTGGCTGTATAACAAGTGGTTGCAAAGCACCAATCGAGAAGAAGCAAGTTTATCACCTGTAAGGTTATTGTTTATAACTGGCTCTTTTATGTGCTTTTTTTTTTTAAAGTACACGTATGTTTAAAATGCATAGTTTCTGGGGTATGTTTGTTGTATACATCTTTAAAAATAAACAAAAACATGCTCATGAACTCTACCGTGCTGTTCTACAACCTAGTTTTGGGAGTGAACAATCAACCTAATGAGGTCGGCCCATGAGTCTGATTGAATACGGCCTTTCCAAGCTCAACCTGAATGATTTCATAATACATATACAACTTAAGGGCCAACACAAAAAGGATTTAGAGGTTTTATTTAATTAGTAATAACTTGGGTTTTACATTAGGTGTATGATAATGAATGAATAACATGTTATTATTTACTTATTAAGGGTTCATAGTTTGTTTAGGGTTTATCTGCAACTAATCAATATTTCTCATTTCCCTGTTGTGATCACAAGAGTCAAAGACACCGTTTCTTACCGTCACCATCCTTGTCTGCTTTGAGCCCCTCATAAATTTCTTGCAGGTTCTCAGGAGTTAGCCATATTCCGTCCCTCACTCTGGAATGAGTCAGTATCTTTGAGGCAACAATAGTTAAGATGATGTGAGTTAACCACTCTTTGAGGTATGAATTGCTCTTAAATCCCCAAACTGACAAAGACCTCATGAAGCTGCAGCTGTTCATCCTGGTTGATATCAAGAAGGTTAAAGATCTCCTCTGGACTCAGGTCAAGCTCTTTTGCAAGCTCTTCTTGACCTTCTTGCACCATCAGCTGACTCTCCATCAGACCCTTCAGCTGAGCGAGCTGCATCACCACCCGGCACTCGTCCTCTGACAAAAAATCCGGGATTTCTGCAAAACACAAGACACACTTAGAGAGTATACATCTAAAATAAATAAAGGTTTATGTACATTAAGATTTTCATGTTGACAACTAAAAAGAAAAAAGAAAAAAAAATGGGCTAGAGCTTTAAAAATATCAGGCCTTGTGGACTTTAGGTAGCATAAAATATTAGTTTCTGACATCAGGAAGTTAGAAGGCATGGTAAGAGTGGAGAGGAAAGGTTTAAACTTTGCTGCTGAGGGGGATTTCTAAAAACCATCCTTAGGTAGAAACTTTGAAGTGCAAAACAATACGCAGCAATGATTTAAAGCGAAATTAACTTGATCTAATATGATTGAAAACAAATGGAACAAATATTCCTACAACTATCAGAATAATTCAACATATTGTGATAGTTTTAATGATGTGAAATTTTACGTTTATTGACTATTCATGACTTTTGCAATCATGAACATCAGTGCCTGGCTGTTTAATATGAGCTTCTGGGAGAATTATTTATATAATAAACTCCTAAAGCCCTTTAAGAATAATAAAAAATATTTACTGCTGCAAATGTAGGGCTCAATAGACCTCAAAAAGAGAGGATGTGACTCAAGTTCAAGTGACCTAATTCTTAAATGTTGTTTTTACCAAAATAATGTGCTTATTCATTAGAGCAGGGGTCTGCAACCTTTAAATGCAAAGTGTCATTTTGCCCTGAGTCAAGCTAAGTAAAAGTAATTTAGAGCCACAAATATTCTATTAATTTTCAATAAAACACTTTTTAAAAATATATCTGCCATAGAAAATCCTTTGCAATTTTAAACAACTAACAGTTTATTTGTATCTCAGCTTTCAAAATAACAATAAAAAAACATAAAAAGGTTTCATAAAGATGAACTATACATTTTGATGCAAACAAAAAGTTATTATTAATTTAAAAAAAACTAACAATCTCTAAACCAAAGACAGAAAAATATATTTAAACATATATTGGTGGTTCTTTTAATGTCATCCGGCTGTAAAAATTCAATTCAAATATTGTAAAAAATAAATAAAAAAATAAAAACACTAAAGCTTCTAAGAACTATTTGTACAAATATGAAAGAGAAATAAAAAACTTAACTTATTCATTAAATTTGAGTTTAATAGGGGGAAAAAGTCAGAATTCTGACTTTCCCATGCTTAACTCTAATGAAATTAAAAAAACAGTTAACTTTTTTCTTTTTTCCAGTGGCCCTAATCCTCTTCCGTAGAAAAAAAAAAAAAATGAAATGATTTTTAAATATTATTTCAGTTTAATATGGGAAAAAAAGTCAGAATTTTGACTTTAATCTCAGAATTTTGGATCTTAATGTAGATGGGTACCATGAAGGTAGAGATGTGGAAGCACTCAGCTTCACTGACAAATATGTAAGTTGTTTGGGAGGGCCAGTAACACACTGGTGGAAAATGACGAAATTAGGTGACTTTTTATGTGCCCGAGGGGTCCCTGGTGATGCTATTTCATTAATAGAAGAGCAGAAGGTGATTAAAACAAGATAGTTTAGTCTCTAAATCAAACATGGATACGGCTTGATGCTAACATGTTTGTTAGCTGTCAGAATTTTGAGAAAAAAAGTCAGAATTCTGAGATTAAAGTCAGTAGGAATTATGAGAAAGAAGTCAGAATTAATTTTTCCCCCCCATTTTAAGCTGAAATAAAATGTAAAAATCAGTTAACTTTTTAAATTTTTTTCAGTGGCCCTAATCCTCTTCCGTATCTTCCATTTAGGGTTAGGGTTATTTGCTATTTGCCACTATTTTGCCCTCAGCAGAGCCCCGCATTAGAGGCTCCCATGGATGTGTGTTAGAGGCTCCCATGGATGTGTGTTAGAGGCTCCCATGGATGTATGTTAGAGGCTCCCATGGATATATGTTAGAGGCTCCCATGGATGTATGTTAGAGGCTCCCATGGATATATGTTAGAGGCTCCCATGGATGTATGTTAGAGGCTCCCATGGATGTGTGTTAGAGGCTCC